ATAGGTCCTCAATCGTGTTAACTATGGTTATCAAGAAAGTATTTATAAAATAGACTACAATATAATAGCACTATCAGAACATAACCTGCTCAATACAATGAGTTTAAAATTATTGTATCAGTAATAATAATTTGACATTTACTTAATCTTTATTCTATGGCAATCCTGGGTTGTGTGTTCTCTGCATTATCACATTTAATCTCCACAGCAGTCCCACAATTTGGATGTTGTTATTCCCATTTTAGAGAGCAGGAAAATGAAGCTTAGGGAGAAAAAATGAAATGTTTGAGGTTATGTGGCTATTAAGTCCAAACAATGGCCTGAAATCTAGGTATAGTCTGAATCAAAAGTGCAGGCTCCAACTACCAGGTTTTGCCAACTCTTACTTAGTTATACAGTCTGAAAAAAAAAAAAAAAACACACAAAGGAAAAGAATCCCTAGCCGAAACAGTTTTTGGCTCAGTGGATAGATCGTCGGCCTGCAGACTGATAGGTCCCGGGTTCGATTCTGGTCAAGGGCATGTACCAGAGGGGGATGTGCAAGAGGCAGCTGACCGATGATTCTCTCTCATCAATGTTTCTAACTCTCTGTCCCTCTCTCTTCCTCTCTGTAAAAAATCAATAAAATATATTTTTAAAAAAGAAAAAGAAAATCTCTTGTTATATAGAATGACCCTACTCAACCTTTAGCAAAGATAAAACATGTTGCTTCTCAAAGGTTTTAGTTAATGACTAGGAAATCAAACATTGAAACTTTAAGCTCTGACTTTGTAAATGTTCCTGAAATGAAAAAAAAACGCATGGCTTTATCATCAGGTTACAATTGCCGTCACGTGTAATCCATTTCTTACTTGTTTTGCCTCTGGTTAGCCTCAAGTTCTTTTTCACCTGTGTCTTTTAAATGCACTCTACATGCGTTATGAACAGCACACCCAGAAACATATCTTGGCATTAAAATTCCATGAAGTCCATGTTGGGAATCATATTACTACCCTTATTTTTAGCTCTCAAGATTGCACTCTTTCCATTGCACTTTTAAATATTTAGTAATGAAGTAATATTGAAAATAGCTCCTCTAGCCAAATAAAAATCCTAACTTTGGTTTAATCAAGCCAGACCCACTGAGTGGCATTAATATAATTACCTTACTGAGGCAGCTACCAGCCTGTGCCTCTCTTTTTCCTCTCAGTTTAGGACTAGCCTCATTTGCTGCTATATTTATCTGCCTTCTTAGCCATAAAAGGCTGGCTGTGTGGCTCTGACATTCTACTGCCTGACCACATGCATTATTTTTGAACTGGCCCCCAGGGTCCTGTCTTCAGACCTGCCTCTTAACTTTTTCTGGGATTCAAACTACGTGGGTTTTTCATCTCTCATCCAGTCCTACAACCACCTTGGAACATTTTTTACCACCGTCACTCTTTTGGAACCTGGTAAGTGTGACAATGAGACAGAAAAATGCTCTAGATATTTTATGTGCTTACCAGTACTATGGTGTGTGTGGTTTCTTACTATCTTCTGAGCTCAGCAGTTTTCTCAAAGAGATGTCAGAATAGCAGAGAAATAGGACAGTGGAGCCCCTGGGAAGGAAGACAAGAGCAACAGAGTGCCAGTTTTTGCTGGCCCAGCTCTTCTCTCAGCTCATTGTATTATTTTTAAATCAAGCTACCATTCCTGAAAATAATGGCTGTCTCGGATGGAACTGTGTGAGTCAGGTACTCTTTACAATTGAGTAGTTTGGTTGAAATCTGGAATGGAGATGCGACAGGAAATCATGTACTTTCTATCCTTTGTACGCCTACAATACTCCCTGATTACAAATCAGACCTAAAGGAGGTAAATTAACTCTGAAGCCACTAGTTTCTAACACAGTGATTTTGCTCTGACATTGCCATGTAGGTAAATGTAAGAGTGCATTATTATGATATTCCTGACCTGAAAATGGTCAGACAGTATTTCAGAGGCAACATAAATCCCCACACAATGATCCTGAAGTTAATTTAACACTTTCTGTGACTAGTCTTTATCAGCTTTTGGCCTCTAATGTCTATACAAAAGTATCATATTAGGATTTCAACTATGTGGTTAGCATTTCTTCCTAAATTCCCAAATTATTTTCTAGCAGAAAATGCAGGTCTTAGAGGAACAGAAGACAAACCATTTTTCCTCCCTACATATTCTAGATGTCTTGTGTTGGGGATAATCCTTGCTTACTGATGAAGAGACAGTAATTGTACCTTGATTCTAGAGGTCAGAGCTGTGACGATCAGCTCTGTTAACTTAAAGCCAAACTCTGTATACTTGTAATTTGTTATCTATGTGCTTGGTATATTAGGTCTTATTAAAAATAAATATATTTGGGGAAAATAGAAATCAAGTGGAAAATGTAATTGGGGCCCTAACCAGCTTGACTCAGTGAATAGAGCATGGGCCTGCAGACTCAAGAGTCCTGGGTTCGATTCTGGTCAAGGGCGTGTACCTTGGTTGCGGGCACATCCCCAGTTGGGGGTGTGCAGGAGGCAGCTGATTGATATTTCTCTCTCATCAATGTTTCTAGCTCTCTGTCCCTCTCCCTTCCTCTCTGTGAAAAGATCAATAATATATATATATATATATATATATATATATATATATATATATATATATATATTTTTTTTTTTTTTTTTTTTTAAAGAGCCGAAACCGGTTTGGCTCAATGGATAGAGCATTGGCTTGGGGACTGAAGGGTCCCAGGTTCGATTCCGGTCAAGGGCATGTGCCTTGGTTGCAGGCACATTCCCAGTAGGAGGTGTGCAAGAGGCAGCTGATCGATGACACTCTCTCATCGATGTTTCTAACTCTCTATCTCTCTCCCTTCCTCTCTGTACAAAATCAATAAAATATATTTTTTTAAAAAGAAAGAAAAAAAAAGAAAAGAAAATGTAATTGGGGCAAGATATTTAAAAATTTTATTTTGAGAAAATAACAGCATTTCAAGTCATCCAAATTGTGAATTTAGCTTATAACATAATACATAGGAAGGTCATTAATAATTTATTTGAATCTCATTCTAATAACATTTGCCATGTTGCAATGCAGTATGTATCATTACAGAAATATCTAATATCTTTATCACTTCCAAACATGATATACTTTTATATTAATTCTATCCCTTTGTTTTATCAAAATTTATGTAATATTATAATCAATTACACATGATAATTATGTATATTTTAGAACAGAAAACAGCAATCTATTTAAGGGTTGAAGCAAAGTTGCTTGCTAGTCGCTATTTTTTTCCTCTTGGGAAATGCGATGTATACTGATATCCTTCATGAGCCCGAAGATAAATATTTCTGGAGTTAAGTTTATTGGATTTTCTTCTATAGGGTATACATACTGACTTTTTAAATAGTTTAAATAAAAGTAGATTAAAACTTTGACAAGAAATATGGCAAATTTGAAGGATTTACTCTTCATTTAGAACTTAAAGGTTTTGGAAAAAATGACTTTTACTTGTGAAATTTAAAAAAGAACACAGGAAAAGCATTAAAATTGGAATGGGGACTCCATAAAACTATTACTGCATCCAGGGTTGTCAGTGTGGCTGGTAGGCTTCTGTCAGTGGACAGATTATTCAAGAAAAGTAATGAAATCTCCCCACTCTATGCTAACAAACATATTTAACTTTCAGTAGAACTGTTGGCTCAAGTTCCCAATGAAAATTGCTACACTGGTAACTGACTTTTTTATGTTATAGAATTAAAAACCTTCATATTCTTAATGGAGCAAATTTTTCTGGTTTGACACTATACCTTTTAAACTATTTGTGAGATTTGAGAGAGCTCATCATATAATATAAGCACATTCCAGGATTCAGTCTTTGGACTTTCTTTTCCATTTTCAATCTCTCTCTCTCTCTCTCTCTCTCTCTCTCTCTCTCTCTCTCTCTCTCTCATTTTTCATTTAAATATCATGTGTAAGCTGGTGAGTCCCAATTGTCAGACTTCATCCTGGACATTTACCCTATACTCCAAAGTCACATACCCAACTTTCCATTTTACATCTCCACTTGGACATCTAGCAGGTATCTCAAATGTAGAATGCCTTAATCAATCTTATATTTTTCAATCCAAACTGCTGATTTCTTACAATCTTGCCTATCTCAGTTAACAGCAACTTCAATTTTGCAATTATGCAAAAATCTTAGAGTAGCCGAAACCGATTTGGTCCAGTGGATGGAGCGTCGGCCTGTGGACTGAAGAGTCCCAGGATCGATTCCAGTCGGGAGCATGTACCTTGGTTGCGGGCACATCCCCGGTGGGGGGTGTGCAAGGGGCAGCTGGTCGATGATTGTCTCTCATCGATGTTTCTAACTCTATCCCTCTCTATTCCTCTCTGTAAAAAATCAATAAAAAATATATAAAATAAATAAATAAATAAATAAATAAATAAATAAATAAATAAATCTTAGAGTAATTTCTCACTCTTTTCCTTTCACATCCCACTTAGGGCACATGCCCTGGTTGGAGGCTCCATCCCCAGGAGGAAGCATGCGGGAAGCAGCTGACCATTATTCTCTCTCAAAGTTGATGTTTCTCTCCTTCACTCTGAAATCATAAAAATATATTAAAAAATAAAAAAAGTTCTGAGGAAAAGCATAATGGCCAGGAAAGGGAAATGTTGTAAAAATTGAATATATATATATATATATATATATATATATATATATGAAAGGGAGGAAGGAAGGGGGGAAAAGAGAAGAAGGGGAGGGGAAGAGAGAAAGAAGAAAAGAAAAAGAAAGCTGCACAAGGACAGCTGGGCATGAAGTAGAAAGTTCAATGGGTAACAACCAGTTAAGCTATATTTCACATCATTTTCCATTTACTCTTTGGAAAAGATAAGAGTATTGATGTTTACACATTGGTTTTGATTACTTCTTCTCTAGGATTTCTTTCTTAATAAGTTACTCAAGCAATTGTTGCTTTCTTATAGGTCGCCGGGTCCCCCGGGGGTTCATGATGTCTCTGCCGTTTTATCAGAGATTGCATGATCACTATGATCACGGCTACCGTAACAAGGGCCTTCGCACCACCGTGAGCCAGTACCATGAGCAGGAGAAGAAAAGTTCTGCCATCTACACACATGGTTCAGCGGCCTACAGCAGCCGCTCCTTGGCTGCCCGCCGCCAGGAATCCCAGGCCTTTAGCCTGGCGTCATCGTCATCGGCCTCCTACCTGCAGCAGGCGTCCCAGGCCACCACCGAGTCCTCCCTGGCATCTGCGGTCAGTCGGAAGGAGGCCTCAGCCTACGATTATGGCTACTCCCATGGGTATGTCAAAAGCAGCCTTCTAACCTTAGGGCAAAGGCTCGTTCTTCAAATAACCCCTCCCATATCACGTTTTCTTTTCTTCCTGCATTTAAACCAGATGTGGAGCAACTGTGTGTATTTGGGAGACCTGGGATCTCCTATTTCCCTTCACCCCATCTCTTTAAGTTTCACAAAGTGCTTCACAGTCATCTCGAGGAGCCTTGCTTGATTTTTAGAGGCAGATACGGTTTGCCACAGGTTGCATTCAATATCAGAGAGCCAGAATTATCATTTCGACACTCAGAACAGGTTTCCTGGCTTTCAGAATGTTTCTACTTAGATGAGAAGGCAGTAGAAACTTAAAATTCACAGGTCACAGGAGTCCACACCTTTGCTCCGCAAAGATGGGTTCCAGTTTTTCAGTATCCAAAAGCCAGTGTTAAAATTCAGCAGTTATTTAGGCAGCAGATATTTTCTTCAGCTGGAACATTTTATTAAAACACTAGAGGCCTGATGCACAAAGATTCATGCAAGAATGGCCCTTCCTTCCCCTGGCTGCTGACACTGCCTTCACTCTGGCCTGGAGCCGCCTTTCCACCTTCCCTTGCTGCCCAGAGGCCCAGAGCAGCTGGACAGTGCAGAATGTCTGGTGGTTGCCATGGCGACGATACAAGCCTCCCACCCTGCCCCTGGCTGCTTGGTGCCTACATATGCAAATTAACCATCCATCTTGGTTGGTTAATTTGCATACTCCTGATAAGCTGGTGGGCATTGGTCAATTTGCATCTTTCTCTTTTATTAGTGTAGATGCCCTACTTCACTCAGCCGAGGAATACTAGGAACAAACCTGGAGTCTCACAGAATTAGATTTATTGACACATTTCAAAGAAAGAGTTACTATAGGATTCTAGAGAGAGTGGAATTTAGATGCAAATCTGGTCTGCAAAGGGAACTCAGGATGCCATTTTTTTGAAACAGTGAAGTTGAGGGAAGCATGAACTGTCCTATTAAACCCGTTATGTGGAATCAGCTCTGGGACTGGGGCTCAAGCTGCTTTTCTGTGTCAACAGCTCCTGAGGTCTTCTAGGCAAGAGTGTGATGTCATATTCTTACTGATAAAATTTCAAACAGCAACCTACTAGTCTTTATATTAGAGAAGAAAGTTTCAGTGGTCACTCAAAGAAGGAAGTTGCCATGACACCTTATAGCAGTAGTGTTCCTTGGGAGAAATGTGTCCTGTGATTTTGCTGTTGGCTTCTCTGTTTGTTGTTCCAGCCTGTTGAGTAGATATTTACTTTCTCAGGGCAAGCTAATTTAAAATATATATATATTTTATTGATTTTACAGAGAGGAAGGGAAAGAGATAGAGAGTTAGAAACATCGATGGGAGAGAAACATCGATCAACTGCCTCCTGCACACCTCCTACTGGGGATGTGCCCGCAACCAAGGTACATGCACTTGACTGGAATTGAACCAGGGACCCTTCAGTCCGCAGGCTGATGCTCTATGCACTGAGCCAAAGGTAGTCCAAGCTAATTTTATTTTTTTTAACACCCAGAATGAAATGTTTTATGGGATTATAGCCCCCTGGCAAGATGTATGTGATTTCATTAAAAATCAATCTATTGCTGAAACCAGTTTGGCTCAGTGGATAGAGTATCGGTCTGCAGACTAAAAGGTTCCAGGTTCAATTCTGGTCAAGAGCATGTACATCGATTGTGGGCACATCCCCAGAAGGGGTTGTGCAGGAGGCAGCTGTCAGATGTTTCTCTCTCATCGATGTTTCTAGCTCTCTGTCCCTCTACCTTCTTCTCTGTAAAAAAATCAATAATATATATATATTTTTAAAAAATCAATCTATTGTCCTCACAAAGAATTGCTGAATTTTAACACTGGGCTATGTGGTAAATAAGAACCTGCTGCGTCAAATTCTTTCCAAACCATCTGACATAGGTTGCATTTTTGTTCTAAATTTGAAATTTTTGTTCTAAATAATGAAATTTTAACTCTTACAAAATTTGAGCCCACGAAATATCTGTTAGGACACCTGGAAAAGGCATGTGTTTTTTGAAATTAAAATAGCGATTGAGGAAACAACACAGTGGTTTGTATGAACAGAAGTGAAGAAGGTTTCTGAAGGCAGAAATTCCTGATTTCCTATTGGGATTAAGTAGCACCTGATGTAGGGCTGTCATTTCATGGGCATGACAGTGACCTCCTGGGAGCTTCTGCTATGTTCAGTAACAGAGCCAGAGTCCGGTGGGGTTTACCTGGAATGTATGATGTCAACATTTTTAAATTCCAGTTAAAACGGAACAGGCTCATTTTGCAATCTCACTTTCATGAGTCATATTCTGCTATTGGATATTCATAAGGTTCTCAAATTGGCTGCAAATGTGGAAATATTGTCACTGAGAGACAATACCTATAGGTAGGTATTTATTAATGGCTTTCTGTATTTGAATAACTCATGTTATTCATGTAAAAACATGTTAACCTAGAAATGAGAAGGAAGAAAATGCCAATATTTTCCTTTGTATAATGCAATGTAAAAGAAAAAGCCAACCTAATTCTAGGAATATTTTAATCTTTCTTTTTTTTAGACCTAGAGCTAATACATGCAGATAATATTTCTTGAACATTTCAAAATCTTCATAGTTCCTATTTTAGCCTTTTTTAAAGTGCAGCAACTTTTTCCTGCTAAGTGAATATCTCTCTGGATTGTGGTCAGTTGTTTATTAAAACCCCTATGGTTGGAACTGCAATTCTGTGGAGTATGTATAAGCACTAGGTGTGATCTAATTTTAGCCTCTGCTTTGTAGTTAGATGTCTACCCTGTTTCCCTGAAAATAAGACAGTACCTTATATTAATTTTTGCTCCCAAAAATGCGCTAGGTCTTATTTTCAGGGGATGTCTTATTTTTCCATGAAGAAGAATATGGTACACATTTATTGTTAAATGAAAATAAAGGCAATTTATTACCTGTATATGGTACGGTAGTTTGGTAGTTATCAACACAAACCAGACAAACTGTGAATCCTACAGTATCAAGAATTTACTCATTTATTCAATGACAATCATGTCATCATCTTCTGGAACATCATCATAACAACCCAATTCCTGAATTTCCTGGTGAATTTCTTGTGACTCCATTTCTTTCAGAATCAGTGGACCAAATCTCTCATGTTTAGCAATAGCACTTTCTTTAAATGAGTACTTCTTGTCAAGGTAGCCTGCTCGCGGTGCATTTGCAATGCAACTGTCAGTGATTTTCTCCCAGAATTCTTCACCCAAGTCACAACTTCTTGCAGTTTAGGTTTCACAAAGTTTCCACGCTGACTTCTCTCCATTCTATTTTCATTGTAGTTATTAATTTCCATGCACAAATTGTCTTTGAATGGCTTGTTTATTGCAATATCAAGCGTCTGGAGATAGGCCATCATTCCTGAGGGAATCATTATCTGATCTATTTTTCTTTCGTGAAGAAATGTCTTCATGTCTTTAGCATGGTGAGTGCTGGCTGCATCCCAGGATAGCAGACCTCTTTGGCTCCCTCACATAACAAGTGGCAGCATTAAATTGACCCACTTCCTTATAACTGCTTGTGTGGCCCAGGCTTTTTCAGTTTCAAGAATAAAAATGCCCAAAACACGTTCAATTTTTTTCCTTCTTGCCCTTAGAAATGATTAAAGGTGGGATTTTAGTGCCATCCAGACGAATTGCCAAAATACAGGAAACATGTGCACTTTTGTAAGCAGTGGAGGGAATGTACACTAAGGAGGCACCCCGCTGTTCAATTGTTGTTTGAGATGATTGGCCCATAAACACTGCAGTTTCATCCATAGCAATCCTTTTGGAAAGATTGTATTTAGAGAAGTCAGCATCATCAATAAAGGACTTGAATGCAAGTGCTCACTTAATAACTTGAGTATCTTCCAACCTAAACAATGTTGTACTGGTAGATCTTCTCAAAGACAGTTCACTTTGCTGAAGGAAATTATCCAGCCAGTGTTGTGATGTTTTGAAGTCTTTGGGGCCTATGTCAAACTGTGGTGCCATTGCAAGGGCAAATTCTTGCATCTGAGCCCTATTCACAACCAAAGCCTTTGCTCTCCTGTCAACAACCCATTCACAGATCAGGTCTTCCAGCTCAGAAAATAATGGTTGCCGACCTGATCCACACTTGTGCTTTTTAGCATTTCCCTTGTCCATTTGTTCAATGAGGTTACCATACTCTGCTAGCCATTTTTGGACCAATCGGATACTCAATATCTTCTCTTTGCAGAAAGCAGTAAGATTTTGGCCCCAAGAGTCTTCCATGATTCCTTTCTTGTACACCACGGAGAAGCCTTTTCTTTTTGCACTCATTTCTAGGGGTTAAAAAAAGGAATTGGGGTATCAAGGTGGGGGAAGGGGGATCACTTAAAATGACACAGGGGGAATCAGAGGAGGGAATCAAAATGGCACAGGAGAATCAGAGGGGGTATTACCATTTTAGTAACCCCTTTTGATCCTCCTGTGTCATTTTGATTGCCCCCTCTGATCCTCCTGTGTCATTTTAAGTGATCCCCCTCCCCCCACCCCTGTGCCACTGAACACCTTCACCAGACATCCCCCCTACCCCTTTATCAGACATTTACTCCCTGGGGCCTGCCTAAGGACTGTCATTGGGCTTGCTGAGGCCTGGATCTGGGCTGGAGCAGGGCCTGCCACTGACTGAGAAACTTCAGTCATCATGAGGGCGGCCGCGAGCATCAGGTAGTGTCATCAGAGACAGACAAGCACTCACCACCTTCGCCGTGTCCCGTCCGCTCTAATCCTTCTGTTCTACACGCATCTGCGAAAGTCTCCTCCTCTCTCCCACCCCGCGCTCACTCCGACCTCTGCTCTGCCTCTGCACAGCAGTGATGTCAGGACTTCGCATAACGTCACTGGTTGCTAGACGCCAGTCGGGGCGGCCCTAGCAACCAGTTTACGGTAAATTAATTTTCATTTTAAGACAGAGCCTAGGGGGGGCCT